GGTCGCGGCCACGAGCCAGAGAGCGTAGAGTAGCCCGACCTGGAGACTGTACGCAACGCAGAGGGCTCTGGACATCCAAAGGGGATGGGGGCCCTAGTGGGACTATCTACAGGTCCGAGGGGCTTCAACCAGAATTGGGACCAAGAGCATTTGGTCCAGACGGGCGTCGCTGATTTGTTCCCAGGGGACCGCGGTGCAGACATCTTGAGACCCATCACCCGCATCTTTGCGGTCCAGTGTGAAAGCGCGAACTTCATGATGAAGGATAATGTTGCGAGCAAGTCGGCCACTCCCGCTGAACAGCTCTACGAAGCCAGTGTTCCGATTAATGTATCTGAGTGCATGCGTGAAGTACTCCACGCATCCTGCCAGCAACGTTTCTGAAGTGCCACTCTCCAAATCTATGGGCATGCCTTTAGCCTGCATCTCCGTGGCTGTCCTCCTGGCCCAAGAGAGGCCTGCACCATGCGGTGGCATCGCCCCGCATGCACATGAAGCCAGAGCAAGAACAATCGTAACCTGGACTAGGCCACGCCAGACACGAGTGGAAGCCATGGCCTCGACGGTAAAAAACTGGAGGTGCCCAAACGCGACTGCAAGTCCAGAAGAGTGAAGATGCGCCTCTCGAAGGTTGCCCTGTGAGCAAAAACAGCCACGTCCCTGAGCATCCCGTTTAACGATTCGTCGATAAAGCAGTTGTACTGCTTGGGGGAGCCATGGACGTCAACCCTGAGGCGAGGTCCCAAACCCCCTCAGAATTTAGTCGAAGAGAATCTTCGAGGAAACCCTTCAGAATCTCCTCGAAGAGGCTTTCCTCGAGAAAATTCAAAAACACCTTTTCGAAAATCTGGACCAGGACTGGAGTTGTACAGGGGGTCGGAGGGTCAGAGAAACCGGTGGGGGGGAGTCGGACTATCAAACCGTGACCTATCAAGCATGTGGCACAGCAGATGGCTCTTGGGCGTGTAGTCTATGCCAGTTAACTTGCACGAAACAAGGTGGGTCTGGGCTGCTTCCAGCAGCATCCCTTTTCCCAAGTCCGAGACTTTACAGCGCTGGAGCCGAATAATGTTCAGGATCTGCGTGAGCGAAATCCCAGCCTTCAGCAAAGCATCACCGAATACTGGCGGACCCCCATATCTGCGCACCATGTCAATGCTGAATTTCAGGAGCAGGCCGCACTCGGCAGCCTCCAGTGACATGTGACAGCCAGGGTGATTAGGCGACTGAAGAGATCCTTTATATATAATGCGTGGCCCTCACATCGAATTAACGGGAAACTGCCGACTGTCGAACAAACAATTCGATGGCCGAACGAGGGTCCGAACACCTACGGGCCAGGGGCGACCGCGACCGACGGACCAGAGGCGATTATCTTAGCACCAACTGGCCAGGGGCTAGGTGTTTACTAATCGGCTCGGCTCAAGCCTGTTATCCTGCCCAACAACTCCTGCCCCTGCTCCTCATCCTCTTCTTCCCCTCCTCCTCCTCCTCCTCCTCCTCCTCTTCTGCTTTCTCCTCCTAAGCTCCTCTCCTTTCCCACCTGGCCCCTGCTCCACATCACTTCACGCTCACCTTGTTTTCGCTATCGCTTCCGCCCGCCTCCCACGTTTAATTGCCCATCACCCGTCCTTTGCTCTTTGCCTCGTGCTCGTTACTTCGCGATTGATCCTCATACTCCATCCTCGATCCTCTGACTCATCCTTCTCAAGCCTTCCTCAAGAAGTAAAGTGCCAAACGCTGTCCTGCAACGATGCGCCGCGGCGCTGGCCCAACATCTTGACAGTTAGGGCGGACAAACGAGATGAATGTGGAATTGCTTGTTGTTCTTGCCATTGTTGTAGTGCTGCTCCAAGTGACCTGGACCCCAGCTCGATGATTTGTTCCTGGTTGCCACTGCGCCTCCACACATTGCGCAATATGAGTCTCCAACAGCACGCCGAGACGTACCGCATCACTGGTCCGAAGTACAAACAGTGGAGTGCGTCGACAGCTAAAGTTTTGCGGGGTGATGCATCGAGCGCGTCAGCAAACAAGACGCAGCGGTGCGAAACAGATTCCAGTGATCGTTGCTTGTCGTCCCTCCGCGACCGCCAAAATACGACCTCCAATGGTAGATGCAGCCTTTCGAGCTCAGCCACGTCGAGTACTTGCTTCGATGGTTCCAGTCGGTCCCCTGCTTTGAGCTGAACGCCATTTACAACGACATCGTTTTGCACAAGCCTGCCTCCGATGCCCCTCCCGCCTTTTTTCCAACGCATCACAGCGACGAGGTTTTTCATATGATCTGCTGTCTCAATTTTGATGTGCACTTCACACTTGGAGCAGGCTTCCTCGTACTCGTGGTGGGAGCGGAGCGGCCACTCGATACCGTCGGGTACGTTTAGTGATAAATATAGTCCGTGGAGTTCAGATTTGCTGCATTTGCAATACTGACAAGGCGAATGTACACTGCTCCACGACGTCAAGCCCAGTGATTTTGCATGCTCGCCCCAGTCGCCCTTGATCCAAATCAAGCAGCCTCTGAATGATAGTGGTGTTGCATCGGCGTCCATCGGCGCGCCGTCATGCCGTTCAGTTGGCCGTCGTCCAGCCATCATTGCGTCGAGCTGCCAACGCACCGCTTGTAAGTGTGGGAAGAGGGAGCACCAGCCCCGACAGCCGCATAGGCAACTGTCGGATGAACGTGTGACTGACACCAAGTGACGGTTCCCAGTGAGGAGATTTATTATCCACATGCCTGTCGTAGAATCCATTCGGCCAGCCGCTTGGGCGCGATAGTTAACACCATCTAAGTAGAAGCCTAACGGTACAGGCAGCCGCTCGCCATTTTCAATGGATTTCAACACGCTGCGGTGATTCCGGTACACGGCTAGATCTAGAACGCTTTCTTCCGATTGGCCTGGGCCTGCTGTGAGCAAGTCAAACGTGGTGCTGTCAGATCGCAGCTCGTCCTCGAGACTCTCGTACGCAAGTAGTGTGGGGACGTCCCTCGTCGTCCTTTGCGGGCGACGGTTGTAGTTCACTGGCGTTTTGACTAAGTACGTGTTTTTTGGTGGCGTGATGGTCTTGTCAAGGTGTTGTTGGTACTTCCCTGTTTGTTTGCCAGGCTCCATGGCATAGGCGGAAAAAGCAGCTCCTGGTATCCCCGCCTGGTCTGCCCAATGGCAGGCTTCTGTAAACTCCATGGCGGTCAGCTTGCACGATCCATACAGTCGCAGAAATAGTTTGAGAAGGTTGGCTCCAGCTTCGCGGTGTTTCTGGTCAGTCGGCACCCAATGCCGAAACCCGCGGGAACTCCGACTACGATCCATGCCGAAGCCTCTCGTTTGCTACAGCGTGCAGGTGGGAGCCAGAGTGCCGAGGCTTTTGGGCCAAATGGCGGTGCAATGGCTTTTGGGCCAAATTGGCCATCATGAAGTGAGATGACGTCGGCTTTATGATTTTATGTGTTACTCCTCCCTCATCTTTCCTTCCTATCTCTCTCTCTCCCTCTGTTATCCCACTTCTCTTGCTCCCTCGACTCCTAAAATTTTCTACTCAGTCCCTCTAGGGTTCTCTTTGCAGCAAGTTTGAGCGACAACATTCGGTATCGCATAGAATGGGGAAACAAACAAATTATACTCAGTCCCGATTTCAACCTCCGTTGCAATCATCGTGCTCCTGCTATTTCACTCCTAGGCCAATGTCCCCCTCCTCAGCTCATATCCTCTGGGTCGGGGTGCTAGCACGGGGGCGCCTGGAAGTTCTTCGCGTCCCAGCGTTGCGGCGGGGGCGGTGCCGCAGGGAAGCAAGCCGCAGAGAGAGAGAGAGAGAGAGAGAGAGAGAGAGAGAGAGAGAGAGAGAGAGAGAGAGAGAGAGAGAGAGAGAGAGAGAGAGAGAGAGAGAGGATCGGAGGTGGGCAACGGATGTATGCCTGCGAGTAAGTTAGCTATTACCCCAAGGAATGCTTCGAGCACCAGGCACGCACGCGAAGATCATCGTTCGGATCATCGCGATGATTCGATCAATGATCCCGCATGTGCGCCTGTACCTGACTTAATGTTACTTGCAGGTCTACCTCCGCTGGTTGTTTGGTCGTCGTTTCAGCTGATCTCCCCATGCGCCAGCTGTCACACTCTCTCGTCAGATGTTACGAATCACGCCATGTCTGACCACGAACGAGGTTGCAGGCGACACTGCCGTGGAAGAGGCGTGCAGGAGGAAGGAGGACGAGGATCAGGATGATGGGGGGAAGTGGAGGACAAGGAGCAGAGGATCAGGGGAGGTGGAAGGCACTGATCCAAGGACGATCTCAGGAAGAGGACCAGGATGTGAAGAAAAAAAGGGTAAACTGAGGCAGCCTGTGCTGCAGCGATGAGCTTGAAAGCACCAAGCCGAGCAAACTTCAAGTCTGGCAGCTTCCTCTGGGCTCGGGATCGGCGCCTGTGGACTGCCCCAGCGCGTTCTCTTGAATCCCAGCGGATGCTGGCTGGAATTTTCTCCCTGACTGTCCGAAAATAGTGGATCCTTTGGGGATCATCGGTAGATCATCGGTAGATCACCGGTCACCGGGGGATCATCGGTTGGGGGGGGGGTGCACCAAACCTGTAAAAACACATGGTTTTCTGCCCGATCATCGGTGGATCATCGGTCCCAGGATCATCGGTAGATCACCGGTGGATCATCGGTAGATCTCGCCCCATTCGGCCCTGGGACGCCCAAGATTTTCAGATTTCAAGGCCGCTGATGTCGAAGGGTAGGGGTTCGCAGGGAGAGAGCCACGAGAGTGGCGAAGGACGTTGGGGAAAATAGAGGTGAGAAGGGGGAGGAGGAGATGAATGAGGAGGAGGACTGGAAGGAAGAGTGTGGTGTCCCATCGGGCCCTCGGCTCGGTTCCCAAGCTACGCTTTAGGAGCAGTCCACGCTCGCTCATGCGAGCCCACGCCTCAATTGAACAGGCGAAACCACGAACAACTGCACGCAGTGCACACACTCACGCTCACATCGAATATCCTCGATCACTTTTTCGCACACTTGATCTGATGCATAGTCAAGAGGTCCTTGACGTGACCCCCAATCTTGTCAATGAGCCCCTCAAGCTCCTTGACGTCGGTCAGCGTGGCCCTGAAGAGCACGTCGTCCTTCATCTGCTTGCGAACGCTCCCCAGCTCGCGCGTCAGCGCCTGCGTCAGACGGGAGTTGTTCGAGAGCGTCGTCTTCAGCTCCAGCATGCAAGCATTGAGCTCCAGCGCGTCTGAGTCGTTCTCGGCCCACTTCCAAGGGGCTGTCGCATTGGGGTCCTGCTTAGCAGCAGCCGTGTCTGTAGCGATGGAGCCCGTGACCGCATGAGCCTGCGAGGTCGTCGTCGAGTATTTGCTCACCACCTTCTTCGCAGAGGTCATCAGCTCCTTGATGTCAACGACTGGAACGGCTGCAGCAGCAGCTGCAGTGGCCTGGGCGGCTTCCTCCGCGGCCTTCTTGGCTGCAGCCTTTGCCTTGGCTTTTGCCTTGGCTGCAGCCGTTGCCTTGGCTTTCGCAGCTGCCTTCTTCTCCTCGGGGCTCAATTCCTTTGGCTCCTCGGGCTCCTCAGCGGGCTGCTCAATGCCCGGTAGTGCCGCCTTCTCGCCAGCTGTGGTCGCTTGCGCGGGGGTCGCCTCTGCAGCTGCCTCGACAGCAACCCTGCCGCTCTTGGCGGCGCGCTCCTGCTGCAGATCGGCATCCTCCAGCTTGCGCTTGCGCTCCATGCCGAGGTCCGTCAGCTCTGGTGCGTTCTCCCATGTCTCGTGCTTCTTCCAGGAGGTCGTGAACGCCTCCCTCGTGCCGCGAACAATATATAAAGCTCGCAGACTCTCGGTCATCTCATCGTAGGCTATCCACGGAGGTCCCATGGCCATCGCTTTCAGGAAATACCGAGACGCCTGCAGGGAGGCACACGCTCCTCCTCCTCCCTTCCTCCTCCTCCTCCTCCTACTCATCCTCCTCCTCCTCCTCACTCCCTCTTCATCCTCCTCCTAGCTCCTCTTCCTCCTCCTCCTCCTCACTCACTCCTCCTCCTCCTCCTCCTCCTCCTCCTCCTCCTCTTCCTCCTCCTCCTCCTCCTCCTCCTTTTCCTCCTCCTCCTCCTCATCCTCCTCCTCCTCGTGACCCCTCGACCGATGCCTGCAACCAGCCCAGGCGCCCGCCGCCCTCTTTATGGGCAATGCGCCCAATGGGCATCCACTGCGCGTTCTTGTACTCCGTGCGCGAGAACTCCTGCGTCTTCTCCCGTTTCACCAGGTACTCCTGGTAGCGCTCCTTGGCCCAGTTCGCGCGGTACTGGTCCTGCGCCTCGCTGTTGCCTCTCAGCGGCTTGTACTCGAGGTTCTCTTTCGTTCCAGGTTTGTCCACCCTCCTCTGCCAGCGCGAAGCGATGGCGTTCCCGTTCTTCGCATTCGTGTTGAAAATGAAGCCACGCCGTTTGACCTCTGCCCACATCTCCTCCTCGGCCGACTCCTTCGCGATCTTCAGATCTCTATTCATGTCGACCTCCTCTGTCGTGGGCACCTTCACCTCGTCATCGGTGAACCCACCCTCAGGTGGCGCCAGGTCCTTCTTCGCGAACCCCTTCAGGAACAGCGCGTGCTTCAGGGCGTCGGAGTTCCAGATCTCGAGCAACGACTGGTGCAAGCCCACGTCGTCGATCTTGGAACCAGAGGCTAGCTTGATGATGTCCTCGAAGCGCAGACGCTGTGCGTGCAGCGCCTCCAAGGTCTCCTTCTTGGTCTTCGGCGGCGTCTCGAACGGCGACGGCGGAACCGAAAAGGGGCGAGGGGAGGAGGAGGAGGAGGATCAGCGAGGAGGAGCAGGAGGAGCGGGAGGAGGAGAAGGGGGGGAGGAGGAGGAAGGAAGGAAGGACGGGAGGGAACAGAGAGCAGGAGAGAGACGGAGGGAGGAGGAAGAGGAGGAAGAGCAATTGGAGGAGGAGGAGGAGGGAGGAGGAGGGAGACGCCCTCTCCTCCCTGTCCCCTCCTTCTCCCGCATCCTCCTCCCCTCCTCCTCCTCCTCCTCCTCCTACTCCTCCTCCTCTTCCTCCCCCTCCTCATCCCTCCCTCCCTCACTCCCTCCTCCTCCTCCTCCTCCTCCTCATCCTCCTCCTCCTCTTCCTCCTCCTCCTCCTCCTCCTCACCACCACCACCACCACCACCACCACCCTTTTCATCCTCATCCTCCCCTGGGGGCCGCATCCGCAGCCACGTCGCGGGGCGGCAACTTGCCCGTGGTGTCGCCGCGCTGCTCCTGCGGGCGACCGCCGTCATACCGTCGTCCGACTGTCGTCCGACCGTCGTCCGACCGTCGTCCGACCGTCGTCCGATCGTCCGACCGCCGACCGCCGTCCGACCGTCGTCCGACCGTCGTCCGACCGTGCCCGACCCCCGTCCGACTACGGACCGCCGACGACTGCCCGACCGCTCCGCAGCCGATTACCGACCGCTGCCCGACGGTTTGATGTTCCGACCGTTGCCCGACCGCCGTCTTTCCCGCTGCGTTCCTGCTGGCTGGCCTCGCCGCTGCTGCCGCCGTCGGACTTGCCCTTGCCGCCGTCGACCCCCTGCAGCGTGGAGACCTTGGGCTCCTGCACCCTGGAGGCCTGCAGGTCGCCGATGCCGTCCTGGACCCCCTGCCGCTTGGAGGCCTGGTCGCCGCTGCCGTCGACGTGGACCGTCTGCCGCTTGGAGGCCTGGTCGCCGTTGCCGTCGATCCCCCCCGTGGAGGTCGCGCCGTTGCCGCCGTCGGGGTCCGCGACCTTCTGCCGCTTGCTGCCGTCGTCGAGGTCCTTGCCGCCGTCGATGCCCTGGTCTCTCTGCCGCCTGCTGGCCGTGATGCCGCCGTTCGCCGATGCTGCCAGCGCGGACGCTGCTTCAGATACCACAATAAGACCGGCCGCCACCTTGGACCCCAGCGGATCATCCTTGCGTGTGGCCCAGGGGTCTCGTGCCTCCTCAACCTCTATGCCCTTCTCCTCCGCGCTCTTCCTAGACGCTTCGATCGCCTGAGCCATCATGCGAGCCTCTTCCTCTGCGATGCGGTTCTGCTCCGCCTGATTCTCCTTCGATTTCTTGATCGCCTCCTGGAGTTCAGCATCTTCCTGAGCCTCTGGAGCAGCATCTTTACCCCGAGCCTCTGGAGCAGCATCGTTACCCCGAGCCCCCGCACCTACAGATGTGTCATCCAAGCCGTTCTCGACGTCGATCGGGCTGAAGCCGTCGGTATCTTTCGCGGGCGGGGGGTCCTCGGTCGGTTGGCCCTGCTGTTCGAAATACTCATTGTCACGCCGAATCGCATCCTCGATTTCGACCGTGCCTGGGCACCGATCTCCTGCCAGCAGTTCTCGCAAGTTAGGCCCAGCTGGGGGTTCTGGTACAGTTTGAGTCATATCCTGGCTATCACCTGCCATACGTGGTAAACGTGGTGTGTTGGTACAGCGTGGTCGGTGAGCTGAACCAAGCGCGTGGCGTCAGCCGCGCGTGTTCGAGCCAAAGTGGCTACAGAGGGTCGAGGAGGTGCTGGAGGATGGATGGTCTTGCGGGTCTTTGGGAACCCATGGTATTTGGCTCGGTATTTGGGCCCAGTCGAATCCCCCTATGTGCATCTCTTGTACTGTGGATTGCGAACCCCACCTGTCCACGTTTGCATATTCGTGGTTCGTCTGATGTATTATTGTATTACGTTTCGCTTTGAGGGGGATCAGTCTGTTAAGATTGCGTTACACATTCACCCCATATGCCCATCTTGTCACACAGTCGTCTCGAGTTTGGTTTTACTTTCATTTCGCAACTCCCCATATGTGCATCTCATAGATCAGTTTACTTACCTGCAGCCCATATGTGCATCTCTCCCCAGGTGCATATCATCTTCTTTAGGACCAGCCTGGTTCATACGGGCGTGATCTGAACTTCCGTCGACATGACAAGCGCCAGCTATAGCTATACATTACACACGGTGCTTGCACAGCGTCGCATAGAAAAAAATGAGAGGTGTGCGAAATTCAGAAGCCGTCGAGCATTGACCCTGGAATATCCTCGGGCTCGTACTTGTCCCTCGGCGGGCTCTGGAAGACAATCGATTTCTTCGAGGCCTTCGGGGACTTCTGATCTGTCGGAGTATCTTCTGTAGGACGCTTCATTGCCGCCACCGCGGCGCCTGCCGCCGTCGCCTCTGCCGCTGCCGCAGCTGCGGGGCTGGGCTGCACACCCGCTGCCGATGGGCGCTTCTTCACGGGTGCCTGAATCTCCTCTGCCGCCGCCGCTGGTACGACATCCGTTGCCGATGGGCGCTTCATCATGGGAGGCTCACTCGCTGGTGCTGCCATTGCCTGCTCCTCCTCCCCCTCCTTCTCATCCTCCTCCTCAACCTCCTCATCGAACTCGCGGGGCTCCTCCTCGCCTCCTTCCTCCTCATTCGCTTCCTCGCCGTCCTCAGCTTCAGCAGGAGCTGGCGCATCTTCCTTCTCTTCCTCCTCAGCCTCTGCCTCCTCTGCCTCTGCGAGGTCAGCTGCTGATGGTCTCTTTAGTGCCGCCGCAGGCCTTTTCAACGATACTGCTTCTGCTGCTGCTGGTTTTTTGGACACGCTCTTCTTCTTCCCGTTGCCGTCTTTCAGCCACTGAGTTTTCAGCATCTCCATCTCGGGCTTATCAATCTCACCATTGACATATTTCTTGACCATGGGGACCAGAAAGGCAACGGCGTCTTCCTCGTTCAAGTAGGATCTCATCTGAAACAGCTGGCCGCGTTTCTGTAGGACCTGCAGCCACCTATCTCCCTGTTTGTTCGAGAATACAACTCTCACCTTGTCTCCGTTCTGCATCGTGCCAGACCACACTTCCTGCGACGCTGGTTTTCCTCCTCCGGGAACCTCTGCAGAAACTGCTCCTGGGACCTACACGGATAACCTACCAACCCTGGTCCAGAATCCATGGGAATTTGCGGCGTCATCGAAATGGCCCCAGGAACCACCACGATCGGATCATCGCAGGATTTTGTGTTAATTTTGGGCTTCTTTCGCGATCCTCCCATTGACCACCACGGTCGGATCATCGCACGATCATCGCACAATCATCGCGATGATCCCGGCGACGATCCCGTGGTGGTCCATGGGGGAGTATTGGGCCAAAGACACCGCAAACCAGTCAAATAGATTCGGGATGCAGGTTGCAAGGTTATCCTCCGATCACCTCCCATTTGAAGGCGTCAGCCCACTGCGCCAGCATTGGAGCACCCTTCTCTTGGACGCGTGCCACTACCCACTCCACGTCGGTGCTGATGGGCTTCGCGCGCCAGGCCGACTGGGAAGTTTTTGTTGTTTGCATGTCAAGTCCTCCACTCCCCCGTCCTCCTATCCCCCCACCTCGGATCCCATCATTCCATCCCCCCCTAACTCCATCCACTTCCGATCGAGGGGCGATGGCAGGGGATGGTGAGTGGCAATTCGGTGCGCACGCATCCTGCATGTCGGACTGCCATCCAAGATCCCAGCCATCGATGTTCACCAGGGGGCTCATGCCGTGAGAAGGCGCTCTTTTCGAAGTCATACGTTTCGGTGATGCCACGCATGTCACCTCTGTTAAAGCCTCCTCGTTCTCCTCCCTCTCCTGAGGCTGACTGTCGTCGAAGAAAATGCTGGCCCACTTCGGTATAGGTTTCCTCGGGGGCTGACGGTCGCCCGACCGTTCGTCCGATTGTCGGCCAACCGTCGTCCGATCGGATGACGGTCGGACGATCGTTGGAGGACGGTCGGACGACGGTTGAGAATTGCGGGTCCTGGAGCAGAGTTTTGATACGTGTCGTAGCATCGCGCGGACCATCCGCGCCTGGTCGTGGGCCCATGGCTCTGTCTGTTGCGCAAGGTGCCATTCCGACTCCTTGGAGCCCGCGAGCTCCAAGAATACAGCCTCTGGATCGTAAGGAGGAGGTGGAGGGGGAGGAGTAAGAGAAGGAAGAGGAGGAGGAGGAGGAGGAGGAGGAGGAGTAAAAGAAGGAAGAGGAGGAGGAGGAGGAGGAGGAGGAGGGAGGAGGAGGAGGAGGAGGAAACAGGAGGGCCTTACAATGGACTGGTGGGAAAGGGTGGCAGCCTCCGCAACCGATTGGGCAACCCCTGTCGGAGCAACTTGTCGCGTCTGCTTGATCATGTCACAGTGTTTCAACAGCAGCTCCTGGTCGTGCTCAGCATCCAGGTTCGTAGTGTACTCTAACCTTTTTGTATACGTTCCTCCCCCTCCTCGTCCTCCTCCTCCTCCGCCTCCTCCTCCTCTTCCTCCTACTGGCTCCTCCTCCACCTCCTGTGTTCGTCTCCTCCTCCTCCCCTCCTCCTCCCCCTCCTCCATGGAACGTGTCAGGAGTGTGGATGAAGCGCTGCCACACCGCCAACAGGCCATGCGTGTCTTGCGCACCTGCTTTCCGTGGCTTGACGGATCTAGCAATGGACGGGGAAGTCATGCTAAAGAAAGCTCGGCCCAGAACAGCTGCGACCTCCCTCTCTCGTTTTCGACGAGTCTGTCCGCTGCCGACTTGCTACGTGCATGTGAAACCCAGCGCCAACTCAATGATCATATCCCAACGGCGAAGAAGGAACGGAAACGCCGTCGTCCACCACGACACGAATTATTGCCAATGCCAGACGAAAGCCTGAAGCAAACCATGGAAAATCAGCGCCTCTCAACTTCCACCCCGCTCCCTCCCCACTCCACCTCCTCATTATATGATGCGCTTTCTTTTTTCGTTGCCGCAGTCGCCTGTGAGCACACCGATGCCCTGTGAGCACAATAATTGGCCATGTCCTATAGCAAACAAATCTATGTATGTTATTTTATGTTAATAAAACACGAAAAGATGGTGTGGGACAATTTATCGTCCTGGAAGACATGATGGGACAATTTATTGCCCCGAAAGATTTTGTGGGACAATTTACTGTCCCGAAGAATTTTGTGGGACAATTTATTGTCCCACATGATGGGTTTTGGTCATCCATCATCAACATGAGTGATGGGTACAAAAAACTGTCCTTCAGGACCTCTGGGTGATAAGGTCCTTGACCGGCATTGCTGGCGGGAACGCGGCAGGCTCGCCGATGCCCGAGACTAGCAATTCGCCCAGCTGGGGCGCCCCCTCGCGCGCGGCGGGCGCGCCGCGACCGGCAGCGGCGGCGCGCGGTCACGCCCGACAGAAAAAATCAACGCAATCGCGGCCAACGCGCCCGACACTGGCCGCCAATTCTTCGAGCAGCGGCACGTTGACGTACCAGGCGACGCCGCGGGCGCCCGCGTCGGCGCCGCGGCGCCATGCCAGGATGGCGCCGCTCTGTTCAAGCTGGCGCACCCGGTTCTCAATGCGCCACACGGCTTCTTCGCGCGCTCTCCGGGCCGCAGCGGGCGCGCGCTCGCAGATCCACCGCGCCGCGGCCGACGCGTCGGGCGCCAGAATGACGGACTTCTCGAATTCAAGCGCCCCGGCCTGAGCCTGCAGGACGCTTCGCGTTTCATGTCGCACCCGTCCGGACTACCAAGCCGCGGTCGCTTGGGCGCCGGGGGCGTCGGCAGGCGCCGCCCCGCCCCGCTGCCCTGCCTATTCGACGGCGGCGGCGGAGGCGGCTCTGGCACTCTGGCCCGCGACCACCGCGCACACGCGGGCCTCGCAGTCGCGCGCCATCTCGCCGGAGGGCGCGGAGGCACTTGCATCTGTCGCTTTATGTCAAGCAGAGTAGCAAGCGCATCCGTCGCGCGCCAAGGCCCGCTCGCGCGCTGGAGCCAGCCTAACTGCGCTCTGCGGCGCCCTGCCTGTCCAGCCCCGCGCGCCCTAATAACAGCATGGTCGCGCCCAAGCAATATAGCGCGTGCCCCGGCGTTCCCTGGCCCGCGCCGGGGCTCGCGCTTCCGCGACTGCGCGCGCGCCCCATCGCGCGCGCCATCGTTCGCTTCAGGGCGCCGCGCGCGCTACGCGCGCCCAGCGCGGCTGGGCCCGCCCTGGCCCCGCGCCAAAGCACGGCGACATCTCACGCGCACGCGCCTTGGCCAGGCCGAAGCGCGCCTCCTCAATGGAGAGCTCAGTGAAACCCATAACGACGCGCCGCACGTCCTGGGGCAAGAAAGGCGCAACCTGCGCCAGGGCGAAGAGCGCATCTCCGCCCAGAGCATCTCAAGCCGGCAAAGCCTCGCATCCTGCTCGCCCCCGCACGGGGGGGGCCGGCACCTCCGGGGGCGGGCCCATGGGCGGCGGTCGCCAACTGGGGCCCGCCCCATTTGATCAACAGGTAAGCAAGCTTCTCGCGCGCCTGCAACGAGCACCCGACGCGCGCGCGCCCTGCGCGCGCGGCGCCGCGCGTGCCTCGACGCGCAGCCCAGTCTCGCGCTGTCTCGCCGCGCTTGGAACCACGCAGACAACGGCGCTTGACTGCGCCGACATGCTGGCCGAGAGACGACGATTCCCACGCAAGCGCAGGCTCCTTAGCGCGCTGCCCCACGGGCGCTGCCGCTGCACAACGCGCGCCACTTCGCGCGCCTACGCTGGGCACACTGCAACTAGCTCCCAATACTTTCGCGCGAAGAAATCAAGCGTGATGCCCGCGCCGAACAATTTTCAGCCGCGAAACAAAAGCGCGGCGGCGACGCCCGCAACGCGCGCGAAGCAAGATGGCCCCCCCCGGGCGACACTCGGTCGGGCCAACCGACCGCCGTAAGACTAGCGAGTCGAGTCCTTTTGCAGCCTCCTCGATGTCGAACGGTTCAACGCCGCTCTGACGCGAGCGCTCGGCCCAATTCTCGCGGGCGAATTTATCGCGCAGAAGCCCGAGGCCCGCCTCGCGACCCGCGAGCGGGGCCTCCAACGCCACCGCGCGACAGACGTTGGAAGCGAACTCCGCGGCGCACCCGCGCCGGGGCAACGCGGACCTGTAGGACAAAGCGCCCGTGATCCACGCAGCGCGCGCAAGACTGCTGCCTCGTCGCTGCAGCTGCCATTGCCCACGCATCGCAAGCGAGGCGCCACTCGGCCCACGACAGCGCGCGCTGCCCTTTAGCGCTGCAATCTGCCTAGCCGCCGCGACTTCGGCCGCAAGCCAGTCGCATTTTTCGCCCCTGCCGCTTCGATGCAAGCGCGGCCACCGCCGCTCGCGCAAGCGCGCGCGAATGCCGTGCCTCGGCCAAATCGCGCGGCTGAGCCCGCCCAGCGAGATCGTCGCGAGCGCTGCGCCCGCATCGAGGCGTTGCACTGGGGCGGCAATATCAGCGTTGGCCTCTGTCCCGACACAAGCGCGCGGTTACAAGGGCACGCCCGGTGCGCACGTGCGATCACCTGCTTGCCAGCCGTCGTGGCACGCTGCAGCGGGCGACGAAGTACACCCTTTAGAGTCACCGAGAAGGGCTCTGAGCCAGTCCGCGCCTCGATGCGAACGCTCGCCAGCTGCGCCGGCGTCGCCAACTTATTCGCTCCGAGGCAATCAACGGCGGCCTTCTATACGACATCCGCCCCGAACATGGAGCCCTGACGCAGGGAGCCCAGCAACGCACTGCCGGCCACGATACTAGCGAAGATAGCAAAATCGCAAGCCCCACACGGGAGAGCGATGGCGTAACAGTCACTTCGCACACGCAAGCTGGAGCGCCGCACTGCGGAACCTTTGCCTCGCGCTGCATCTGTAACGACGCGCGACGAGCCCCCAGGCGTCGGATGCCGATAGGGATCCTCGCGCGGTCGCCCTGGGCCAGCATAGAGCCCCGAATAGTGCTGAAGACTCGCACAACTAGCGTCAGAGACCAGTCTGGGTCCTGTGGCAACGCCACGGCCCCTCTGGGCCTGCCCCAAGATGCCCTGCGGGACAGGGATGACGACGCG